GGAAAGAGCATAATGTACCCAGCTGGGTGACCTAGAAAAGATACTGCTGCTCTGTTTGATATCACTATAACTGAGCCCGTGACACAAAACTCACATCCACAAAGAGCAAGTGGTACAGGGAATGAAGCATTTAACAAGGCCAAGTCACACAGCTCTCAGGCTGCTCAACTGGGACCTCCCAAACCTGGGGACTATTCTTTACAGCAGCAGGAGTTTGGTTTTAAGCAGCAGATGGGAGTGGGGAGGACGGAAATGTCCGTCCTTCTGTCATTCTCAACCACATTATCACCAGCTGCTTCCCTGCCTGTGTGAAATCTGCTGGCTGGAGCACAAGAGAGGACAAGCCAACAATGCCGGAATTACTCCCAAGAGTTCACATCACACATGTGAACACTGAGCCACACAGAGTTCATCCCACCTACTGAAACACAGCCATGGAAAGAAGGAAAACGGGGAGGTAAGGACATGTCAGCTCTTCAAAAAGGAAGTTACTGAGAGCTCTGCTTGGACACCCAAGCACGCAGATGCCTGCAGAGCTTTCCACAGCCTCTCTAATCACCAGTGCTATTCGTAGTGTGACATAGTGATGTTCACTCAGGCTGCTATCAATGAGAACATTTAGACTGACTCCTGAGAACAAGCAGAAATAAAAAGAGAAGAAATGGCTTGGTGCAAGAGATGGAAAAGAGCTGGAAAATGGGACACGCAGGAAGCAGCACAAAGATGGAGTCAAGCGGGGAAAGCAGGCTGAGGAAGAAAAGAGGATGCGGGATAGATAAGGGAAGGGGGAAAAGGGAAGACGTTTATACATCCCCATGCACCAGTCTGGCTTTGAGGAGTGTGTCAGCTGCCTAATGCAGAAAAGAACTGCTTCCAACCAGAGCCCAACTCCCCTCAAACCAGTCCTGAGCAGCTCACTCAAGTTCCTCAGCTTTCCTGGCTCAAACAAAAGTTTAGGTGAGCACCTTGCAACTCCCCTGCAGCCTGCCAGGCTAAGCTACTAAAATAAACTGATCATACATGTGGTGCAGACAGAAACACTTCTTACAATGAAATAAGTCGAGCAAAATCATATGAAACTCACTACTCAATTTGTAAGAATTTCTGGCTTTGTTCTGATTTTTACTGTGAGCTTTTACTCATGTGCTTTAAATGTTGCAGTTCAGATAGAAACAGATTCAGAAGGATGAGTGTGATGCGAGCTGGTACAAGGAGATGGCAGGGAGAATCTGTGAGATGTGTCACAGCAACAATGTCTCAGTATTTAATAGCAGTTCAGACAGAACTAAAGTCTTGGACTATTCAATACAGCCACTCTTTTTTTGTGTGTGCTTCTTGTCAGTGGTTCCTGGACCCCCCCATGCTAGAGGTTCATTTCCCCTCCTGCAGCTTTCTTGGCTTTATGGATGAGCTGTTTGATATGAAGGAAGATAATTCTGTCATGCCTCTGTAGGCTATACAGGGCTTGAGAGAATAAAAAAGGAACAATCTAAGGCTGCTACTTTCAAAGGGCTCCAGAGGAGTCAGGAACCCAAATGGTATATTGTCATTTAAAGACATGCACTTAAAGGCTTTGAAACCCTTCAGACAAACCACTCATACTGCCCACAGAAGACAAGACATGAGGATCAGACCTGCTGAGAGGCAAGTGGCCACTTTCAGAGCAGCAAGTCAGGCTAGTAACTCTTGGCAGTCAGTGAACTACACTGTTTTGTGTCATGTCTAACAGCCTGGTTGGGCTGACTGAAGACAGACTTGGCCAGCCCCTAAGGACTCCTGACTGCTGCTACCCAAGTGGAACAGGACTAAAGAGTACAAAGGCCTGAAACACAGAGACAAGCTCACCTGATGGGTTCTGCTTACATCTCTTTTCTTTAGGTTTTTCTGTCCCCGAATGAACAGCTGTAATTGTGGTGAATGCTTGGATTAGTACAGGATTGTTCCCCAAAACATAATATGCAGTATTTTAGTAACAAACAACTTTTTTCCCATTCACTATCACCCACTCTGCTACTGCACGTGGGTTTTCCAACACCACTTCATTCCTTTTCAACATGGTTCCAGAAAGCCCCTTATTTGCTTCAGAGGCAGACATAAACCCCCACAACAGACACTGTGTAACCTGCTCCAGGGAGAAATCCCTTCCCTTACCTGTTCATTCCAGCTAGCAGTGTTGCAAACACCACGTTTTGGTATTCTTCAATGGGGAATGGAGGGAGGCCAGCCTTTTCTGCTGGCATGTTATTTATCTCTGCATGAAGATGCTGAAATTACATTTCATATGGTCTGTCTGTTATGCTCCAATTAGGGAGCATAAGAGAATGGCAGTGTCCCACTTGCAGGCAGGGGGATACATTGGCAGGATAAAAATCTGATAAAGAAAACTCTATAAATGGTGTACCTAAACAAAATTGTCTAGGCCAGTGGTTATGTTTAGTTACTACCACTTGGACGTAAAACACAAAGGAAACTCCTGAAGTGGGGTAAATTTTAATTCCTTCTAGCACATGTATTCTGGTCCCACATCTACACATCCGATATGCTGTGACCTCCACGTAGTAAACTCACAAACAGCTGGACTCTGGTTACAGCGATGTGTAGATAAACTGCCACATTTAGCATCACTGTAATATGCAAACTGCTGTTCTACTCATAGTGCTCAAACTTCTCTTGCTTGTTGAGAATGGCTTTGCTTCACAAGGACTTCACTGATGCACAAAGAACGAGTACTGCTTTATCTCCATCCGTATTCCCCTTTGTCTACATCTTTGCTCCTCACTGAAAAATCTGTGCTAAAGTACATGGACCTTGGGAGCAGGATCCCCACATCATCATTTTTTACAGGCTCTGGAGTGCCAGGAACCTGGGGAGGATTGAGAACACGGCAGTACCCCAGGAAGGCTAGCTGCCTGCAAGCTCAAAGAAGGTACCCCAAATATATAAACAATCACCGATCACAGCTGAATCCTGCTCTGGAGAGGGACGTGGTAAGCAACAGCAGGAGGGAGTGAACACACTTACCGCTGGAGTTCTGAGAATTGCTGTTTGTTTCTTCAAAGTTGTTTTGCGCTTTGC